TATGGCCCCAGGATCAAGGGTTCTGGTATTAGGGCGGGGCTCTATTGATTATATTATGAAAAATGCATTAATTCTTTGAAAATCTTTTCCTTAAATTTGCTCCTGGGTTATATGCCAATGACCCAAGTATATATTTATTTATGATGAAGAAAGGTGCATCTAGCAAAATGGTTATTGGTTATTTTTTATGCCCTCTAGATCGGGGGGGGGGGTGTTACATAGTCTGAAAATACATTAATGCTTTGAAATCTGCTCTTCCGTATTAATCAACAATTTTATGATAAAATTTGCAAAATTTTGAAATATGTGGCCCCAGGGTCAGTGGTTCCTTTGGGGTGAGATGCATAACTGGTTAGAAAGTGGAAGTGCATTTTCTCTTTGTTACTCTGATCTACCTCTGGGTATTAAGTAAATAGAGTAAGCATGCTAAGTCTATAATTATGATATTATAAGCAATGGTGCCTCTTTCAAAATTGTGAATTGTGAATTTCATGGCCTCTGGGGTAAAACATGAACCAATTTTAATTGTTTGAAAGTTGTTACACGATACTCAGGTAACCTATAAGGCCCGAGGGCCTCTTGTTCTGTTCACCTGTTGTCTGTCGTCTATCTGTTTGTAAACTCTTCAGGTTTTTACTTTTTTTTTTCAAGAACCACTGGGTCAATTTAACCATGATTGGTACAAAGCATTCTTAGGTGAAGGGGAGTTTAAATTGATAAAATAAAGGACAAAGCCTCCTTAAAAGGGGTCATAATCAAGACTAGAAAAAAATACAATGGGGTCATTAAAAAATCTTTTTCTCAAGAACCACTGGGCCAGAAAAGCTGAAACTAATGTGGAAGCATCCTTGGGTAGTGAAGATTCTAAATTGTTCATATCAAAGCTCCTGAGGGTAGGGCGGGGCCACAGTTGGGAATCAAAGTTTTACATATGAAGGAAAAATTTTTTCTCAAGAACCACTGGGCCAGAAAAGCTGACTTATGTGGAAGCATCCTGTGGTAATGTAGATTTTAAATTGTTCGAACCATCACCTCTGGACTGGGACGAGGCCACAAAAAGGAATCCTAAGTTAACAATGAAATAAATTGAAAAAAATCTTTCAAAAAATCTTCATCTCAAGAGCTACTGGGACAGGAAAGCTGAAACTTATGTGGAAGCTTCCTTGGCATGTAGTGTAGATTCTAAATTGTTCAAATCATGGTCTCTGGGAGTAGGGCTGGACCACAATATGTATTACAAGGAGGGAAATCTGATACATTTTCTGGCACACCTCCTTATTAACCTGTTTACCATATATACTCACCTATAAGTCGGTATTTTGGGAGATAAATTTTAGTCCAAAAGGCAATGTCCGACTTATAGGTGAGTCATAAAAAGACTGGTATTTTTCTGGATGTCGAATCATAGTATTCTAAAAACATTTTCAACAGCTATCGTTGAAAAAAATATGGATGCATTATATCATTAACGTATTATAAGACTATACATAAATTTCATGTATTTTGTATATATATATCTAATTTTTAATTTTTTTTAGCTCACTGGAGCCGAAGGCTCAATTGAGCTTTTCTGATCACATTTTGTCCGGCGTCCATCTGTCTGTCTGTCTGTAAACTTTTAACATTTTCGACTTCTTCTCAAGAACTGCTGGGCCAATATCAACCAAACCTGCCACAAAGCATCCTTGGGTGAAGGGGATTCAAGTTTGTTCAAATGAAGGGCCAGGCCCTCATTCAAGGGGAGATAATTGGGAATTGGTGAAAATTTGGTGGCATGTTTTAAAAATATTCTTCTCAAAAACCACTGTGCCAGGAAAGATGTACCTTATGAGGAAACATCCTCAGGTAGTGTTGATTCAAGTTTGTTCAAATCATGACCCCTGGGGATAGGGCGGGGCTACAATGGCCGATCAAAGTTTTAAATAGAAATATATAGGAAAATTCTTTAAAAATCTTCTTCTCAAGAATAACAAAGCCATGACTGATCCTATTTATATGGAAGCATCCTCAGGTAGTGTAGATTCAAGTTTGTTCAAATCATGACTCATTGGGGTAGGGCGGGGCCACAATGGCCTACCAAAGTTTTTACATTGACATATATAGGAAAATTCTTTAAAAATCATCTTTTCAAGAATAGAAAAGCTATAATTGATCATATTTATATGGAAGCATCCTCAGATAGTGTAGATTTAAGCTTGTGGAAATCATGACCCCCTGGGGTAGGGCGGGGCCAAAATGGCCGATCAAAGTTTTACATAGAAGTATAAAGGAAAATTTTTAAAAATCTTCTTCTCAAGAATTGCAAAGCCATGATTGATCATATTTATATGGAAGCATCCTCAGATTGTGAAGATTCAAGTTTGTTCAAATCATGACCCCCGGGGTAGGGCGGGGTCACAATGGCCGATCAAAGTTTTACATTGACATATGTAGGAAAATTCTTTAAAAATCATCTTCTCAAGAATAGCAAAGCCATGATTGGTCATGGGACTACTTTTGGATTTAAACTTTTCAATAATAAACCAATTTCTACTTTTTCCTAGCCACAATGCTCAAGTGAGCGATGTCACCCATGGGCCTCTTGTTTAATCTTAAGAGGGCCTTATTTATTTTTTTTTTTATGATTAAAAGTTAAATATCGTCTTCATTTCTAAAAATATTAATCGATATTAGGGTAAAACATCAATGCATTTATTAGAAATAGTCATCTGATTCTGGCAAAAAGTTGTACTGCCTTATAAGCGGGTCAATGGCAAATTCCTGCTAAATAACCTCAAAAAATACAACCGACTTATACGCGGGCTGACTTATAGGCGAGTATATACGGTAATTATTAAAGAGATATGATATTTAAATGTTACTGCATTGCATCCATAAAATGTTATCCTAGTGGGTTGACGTCAATTTTACCAATCCAGAATTGTTAAATCTATACAAATTTATTAATTTCTGATATCAAATCATTTTTTGAGATCTTGGTAGAATATACACATTTGAAAATTACAGGTGGGTAATTATTGGTCCATTTTTAAAACTTAAATGATGTGATGTCATACAGCATTATTTATGTGACATCACACCCCCAACTCCTATATAAGGAAGTAAAAATATGATAAAAATATAAAAAAAAAACTTAAAACAATTTCTGCTTTTATAATAGCATCTTCTAGTCTTTGGTTAGCTCAATTGTCAACTTTTAAATATGATAGATGATAAATTTTTATCTTATTTTTGATTTTTCATTTTTATGGAAATAACTATTTCAATGCTATTACTATCGGAATGGATGAATAATTTTTTTTCTGTGGATATTATCAGAAATGTAGACAATCACCTCTAGCGTAAATAATTGAGGCTTTCATTTTATAATAAATATTGCTCCAATTAGCATAAATATTTTTCCACTCAAGATGTAAATGTCTTCACAGAATATTCTGTCTTTTGAAATTTGAAACACATTGTAGATACTGTAGTCCAAAACAGAACACAAATTTCAATATACATGTATTTCATATCCATAATTTCTGTGTTTAGTTTAAAATAGGATTTATTGATATTGTAGCATTTTATGTCAATCTGCAGACCTAAATCCATTGGTTATCACTGTACTATATGATATGTTTTACAGTTGCTGTCCAAAAGTTTGGATGTGGTGGAGAGTGAGGATTGGATTGCAGATTTAGGAGAAACTTTTGGAAGTCAGCTTCCTTTATACAATTCTTACCCAGAGGAGAAGGTAAAAGAATTATATCAACTGAAGGATAACTCAAATTAAGCTACCAAAGTTAGTGCACAGTTTTGTAGGTTAGAAAATGTTGTACTACTGGTATTTAATGAGTAAAATCTGCAGTGATATTGAATTGTTGTTTTAGAATTTTGCATACAAGTGCATTGGCATCATCATGAGAAAATCTACCAAGAAGGACTTTGTCAATAAGCATTTGGATTTAATGTTTAGCACAGTCAAGCACACAGATCAAGTGGAAAGGGAGGTAACCAAATTTGAAACATCACTTTGAAGGAAAATTTACATTTGTATAAGATATGTATGAATATGGAGATGTTTAAATGTCTTGATGATAGACTACAGGAAAAAATTGCTATTTATATCGCTAAAATTACAAATAAAAATTTGAACTATGAAATTGAAACTCAAATTTTAATCACAGATTAAGTAACCCTATTGTGCATTTTTTCTGGCTTAGGGTGTTGCTATAGCCATGGGTTTCTGTGCTGCGTCCCATCTGGACCCTGTCTTAGGAAAGCTGGACTCAGTGGCCAAAAACGACATGGTCCAGAAATCAGGGGGACTCTTCAAATTCATGAAAGTGAGACATTCTAAACTGTGCCTTACAAAGTATACAGTCTATATCTGCTAAATTTTATATTTTTATGATAGAATCTTATGCAACTTGAAAGATTTTATAACTGTACATTAAACGTGTACTATGCATTGTGTAAAACTGGGTAAAAATATACGACCTTTAATTGACTTTGTTTGACCTTTGTTTGACCTTTAATTGACCTTGTTTCAGGACAAGTCGGAGGTGGATATAGAGCGTATTAAGGCCACCCTGATGCTGTGTTATGGCTATGTGGCTTTATTCTCCCCTGTCAGCTTAATCGTGTCCAGAATGGAGGCCACAATCTTACGCAGCATCACGCCGCACTTTGTCAACGTTAAGGTAGGTCAATACTTAGGCTACATATTTATCCATATCCATATATTACCTATTTTACCAATCTTAATATAATTTAGAAATTATTTACATGGGTCTTAGAGAATTTCTGAGAGTGGCTTAATAATTGATAATAGATAAATTTTGTAAAAAAAAGATAATGGGTTTGATATTACTGAAAAGATCAGAATAATTATACACTTTAATACATAGAAGTTACGAAAATTATATCAGAGTTATGTAGGTTTAAAAAACTGACAAAATACCTGTAAATAATGTATTTAGAGACAATTTCAGCGAAGTAAAATTTTTTAAAGTCAATCTTTGTTAGTTACTCGGCTGCAAGCTAATGGATAAAATTTTCAGAAGGGAAAATGTTTCCACATGAAGACTTTAATCTATCATAAGAACTCCTCTATT